CCAGAGAGCTAGAGGGTGGGTCTCAGCAAGTGCCAAGAGCCTTTGCTGTTGAATTCCACCCCCCCCCAACACGCACACTGAAGGCCTCTCCCCAAAGCACCCAGCACCAGTGACTCAAAAATAACAGGTGTTGATTTGCATATTGCTTTGCATACAATTTGTATGTTATTCATTGACAGAGAGCAGAGAAATTCTCCCAGCCCCACCCTCCAGCTCTGGTCCCTCTCTCCCCAAAGCACCCCCCCTCCCAGTCCCTTTCCTTATAGGGAGGTTCACACCCATTCCAGGCTTGGTCCATCTTCTGGTACTGTCTGCCCAGACCTTGGGTCACAATGGGCAGTCCCAGGCTAGGAAGATCTGAGGCCTGCTGGTGCTCCATTGCTCTCAGCTGCAGCCCTCTCACCACTCCCTTTCGCTTTTCTCCCCACTCTCCACCCCCAGTATAACAGGAAACATTGATTTGGTGTCTTAGGGGCTGTGACCTCACTCAAGTTGCCTGATAGATTGGAATCGATTTCTCTGGTCATTTGCTGGAGCTGCTCAGCGAGGAGAGGGAGGAGGAAGGACCATACAGTCCTCCCTGTGGTGGAGGAAAGTGAAAAGGGGAGGGGAGAGAGATGCAGCAGAAGGTGGAAGGTTACCTTTGACTTCTCTCTGGGCCTGGCATCACAGTGGGTTATGAATCTCTGCCCCCCCCCCAAGTATACCATCTTCCCAACCGTCTTTTCCCAGTGTGAAGGGGGGAGGGGAAGGGAAAAGGACAGGACCCTTCAATATTTACAGTCCCAACCCTCCTGAGTTTTGGAAGAAAAGCCCCTTCCCTTGCTGGTCTAAGGATGTAATAAACTAGACATCCTGCCCAAGGCTAACCTGGGACTCCCAAAGGACGTCAAGTCCACAGCAGTTCTCCTCTGACCCCCAAGGGCAAACATTGGAGTCTCCTCCCTCCGATCCTTAGCGCCTAGGTGCATTGCTTCTAGGGGAGGAGGGAGTGTCTCTCCTCTTTCCCTCTCGTCCCTCCCTCCTCCTCTTCCTCCCAGTGTCCATCGAGATATGATTCCTAGTAGTCCTGGTGTATTCTGCTTCCAGGGGCTAGAGAACATCGATCCAGCCCTTCCTCTCCCCCGCCCCAGTCTCTGTCCTTCACTCTTCCAGTTGTTAGGGAAAGGGGGATGGGCTCGAGCAGACGTGGAAGTGGTTAATTCAGCTTTGGGCGGGGATGATGCCGGGCGATAGGGACCCTGACCCCTTACTCAGGGCAAGAGGGAGCACAGGGCGGGGGCACCTTTCTGGGCTGGGGTATCCTTTTAACCGCCTCCCGCAGCCGCCTCCAAGGCCCTCCCAGCTCTCTCCAGCTGCCGCCACCCACCCTGCGCCCCCTCCCCAGCCCGCGGCCGGAGATTTATGAGACTGCAGTCATAAACTGGGGCTGTGAGATCTGTTGGATTGGCTTGCAGCCGCGGCTCTCGCAGCCCCCAGCTCACCCCCTCCGTTCGCTCCAGCCGACCCTGGGACCAGGCTTGGTCTGGATGGGCTGGGGAAAGGACCGGTCCTTTCCCCAGCCCTGGTCTCGCCCCCGGGGCTTTAGGCAGGTTAGACACGCGCGCTAGCCCCTGGGGAAGGGTCGGGAGAGAGGAGTGCAAGGCCAGGCTCGCGGGATCTCTAACCTCTGCAGCCCCTCACCTGCTCACACCCCTACTCTGCCGATCCAGGCCTGGTAAGCGGCTGCCTCAAAGATTCCCCATCTGTTTGTCCCTATGGCTGTGGGGAACCGCGGAAAAGGAATAGTGCAGCCTAGGGAAAAAGAGCCGCGAGCTGCCCAGGAGCTAGTGAAGAGGTGGGGAAGGGGGATGGGAGAGTAAGACAGGGGGAATAGTTACGGGAGGAGCGACATCCCCCCTCCACTGTGCTCCCCAATACTGGGGGTGTGTCTTTTTTCTCTATTCCTTTTATTCTCTTCCAGATTTAGAGCTATGATCCTAAGGAAGGGGGCAGAAGCCACCTTGAGGGAAAGGGAGAGGAGAGGAGTAGTTGAAGAGGTTTAGCCATCTTAGTTAGGATTCAGGTCATTTCCCCCAATCCTTGATCCAGCATGACTGTTTCACTCCTCTTCCACTAGAATCTTCTAGCCAGTGAGGGTGGGGGTGGGGAGAGATTGAGTGGAGCCTTTTATCAGGATCAAATGAGAACCCAAGATGCCAGGGAGGAGTCCCAGGTGCTAGCCAGGGAAATATCTGCCTTTGGGCCCAACTAAGACCATTCAGCTCTCAGAGAAGCCTGGAACTCTATCTAGCCAGGAGAGGGCCTTACCCACACTGCTGCCATCCACTCCTCAGAGATGGAGGGTAGAGGTCAGATCAGAATGGGGATGGAAGGATTCTGAACAAGGTTCCTTTCCTACCATAAGCATTCAATTCTCCGCCTCTCCCTCCCCTTCTTTTCATCCCTTTTCCCTATGGAGGATAGTAGAAAAATCACTGGATGTGAAGAAAAAAATCCCTGAGTTAATACTCCAGACTCTGCTATTCACATATATTTCACTTTCCTTCTCTGGGCCTCAGTCTCCTCATTCATAAAATGGGGGGATTAACCTAGATCATCTCTAAGGACCTGGCCAGCTCTAAATCCCATAATAAATGCAATGATCTAAATGGATTGACCCTGGGCTAACAATAAGTATAGACAGTCTGAGCATTGCTAGATTCTCTCTCTTAAAACCTCCTATTCCTTGTGGGTCAGACAGAAACCTGGACTGGGCCAGGGCTAATGAATGGTGGTTAAGTGGAGGAGGAGGTGAGGGATGGAGAAAATCTGGCTGGGGCTGACTGACACCAAGCAGTCATTAAGGCTTCTAAAAGCAATTGTGATCTCTCTCTCTCTCTCTCCCTTCCTCTCTCTTTCACTCCTTCCCTTTCTCTCTCTTCTGTCCCTCCTCTCCTTACCTCTCTTCCCCTTCCCCTCTCTCTTTCCCCTTCCTTCCCTCTCGCCTTCCCTCCCCCTTCCTCCTCTCCCTCCCTCCCTCCCTCCCTCTCTGTCCTCTGACTCCAAGGAAGTGGTTCAGCAAACAAGTCTCCCAGGTAGACTTACCCATTTACTACGTGAGAGCGAGAGAGCGAAATGAAGGAATATGAGGCTGTGTTCGTGTCTTGCCTCCTCAAAGATGTTGTAAAGTCTCTGATGGTGGAGGCTAGGTTCTGTGATTCTGGTTTGTTCCTTACAGTGTCCAGCACATAGGATCATATGATTTAAGGTCAGAAGGGACCTTAGAGACCATTTTACAGATGGGGAAATTAAGTAAATGAGCTAGAATTTGATCCAAGGTTGTCTGATTCCAAATACAGTGCTCTTCCCATCATATCACTATCACTCACAGATAGTACTCAAATACTTGTTGATGGATAGATTAGAGACAAGCTAATCTGGTTTTGTTGTGTTTTGAGGATGAGATGGAGTGGGGCTGAGCCATGATGGGTGTGTGATTATATATGATTAGGGATCCATGTAAGACTAGAAGTAGAAGCTTGAGAGAAGGGAAGGCAGAGTTGGGGAGAGGGCAGCCTCTGACTGGGTGTTTGGTGGCAGGTGAGTGCTAATTGGCACCTGGGAAGCTTACAAGGGGCACCAAGAAACAATGGCTTCTGCTGGACAGTGGAGGTTGGAAACATGGAGCTGGGGTGTAGGGGAATGAATGAATTGAGGGGAGTGAGGGGGAATTTACTATCAAAGTAGGTATTTGATAAAGAGGAGTGGTGGTGTTGGTGGTGGTGGTAGTGATGTATGTGTGTGTGTGCGTGTGTGCGTGTGTGTGTGTGTGTGTGTGTGTGTGTGTGTGTGTGTGTGAGAGAGAGAGATAGCCAACCCAACCCTCGGCCTGTTCTTTTCCTTTTCTTGTGCTTTCTCCATGTTGTGTATCTTCCTGTAAGTCTCTATCCTTTGCCAAAAGCAGGGCTAACCTTGGAGGATGGGATAGGATGGGTCTAAATGAAGTGAGGGCCCCTGAGTCTTGAACTGTTCTGTCTGCTTTTTCCTTCCTCTCACTGTCCTCTCTGTCACCAGCCTCTCTCCTGTTCGTCATTCTGTTTGTCTTTCTCCTGGGAGGGGGATGGGGTGAGGATGGGGAGAAGGACTCCACAACCCCTGTTCCTTCCCTGGGAGTCACTCCAAGTATTCTGAACTCCTAACCTCAGGACTCATGGTGTCTCCTTGGACCTGGCTGGTGAACTTTCCACAGTGCCCTCACCCAATCACCCCTAAAGATCAGGGCAGTTATATCCCACAAATAGTGGGTTAAGAAGGAGAAAGGGCAGTGAAAAAGTTCAGCCCTATCCCTAGAGAGAAGATCCTTGAAGAAAGAAGTGACAGTTTCCTTTTTTCACCTTTCAGAAGAATTATTTTCAAAAAAAATCCCTTTCTACACTCAGCCCCACCAAGAAAATGGTATGGTAGAAAAAAACATTCTCTGGAGTCAGAAGAGCTGGGTTCAAATCCTGCTTGTGATGCTTACATTCATTTGACCTTGGGCAACTCAGTTAATCCCCCTTGACCTCAGTTTCCTCATCCATGAGATAAGGATGTTGGATGAGTTGATCTTTGAGGTCCCTTTCACCTCTATGATCAGAGATCATATTATCCCAAGAAAGAGACAAGACCAGCTTGAGAAGTGAGGGGTAGCTGAAGAAATCCAGCCATGTTGTTAGGATTCCACTCACTTTCAACATCACCTCTCTCTTTTTTTTTTCCTACCAAGACTCCTTCCTCCCCTTCCCCTAGCCAGTAAAAGTGGGGAGCGTTGAGTGGGCCATTTTTGACCCTGCCTGTGCCCTCCTCTTTCTTCCCTCCTCCCCATCCCATGCAGATCCTGAGCGGAGCAGCCCCCCGATGCTGTCTGCGGATGATGCGGAGTATCCAAGAGAGTACCGGACCCTTGGGGGTGGGGGAAGTGGGGGGAGTGGGGGCCGGCGTTTCTCCAATGTGGGGCTCGTGCACACTTCTGAGAGGAGGCACACCGTGATTGCAGCCCAGAGTCTGGAGGCACTCAGTGGGTTGCAGAAGGCAGATGCAGAGCGCAAGCGAGATGCCTTCATGGACCACCTGAAGAGCAAGTACCCCCAGCATGCTCTTGCCCTCCGAGGCCAGCAGGATCGACTCCGGGAACAGGTGAGAGGCTACAGTAGGCATGGCATGTTCAGAAGGGGACAAATCCTCTTGTTAGTCTCTGAGCTCCTGGGGTGCTGACCTTTTGCCCAAAGGGTTCCTAAGGGCCACTGATCCTCAAAACTTGAGAGTCTTCCAGAGTTGAACTTTGAGGACTGAACAGCACCAGGAGACAATTTGGCAGTTAACACTGGAATCACCTTTCAAAGTCCAATTTTGCTGGTCCTTTAGGTGCCTGGGAGAACACTTAATCCTGTTTGCCTTTTCCAGGAGAGAAAGAGAACAGAAGCCTTGGCTCTGAGGGCTGGCATCCATTAGGGTAGTTGGTTGTCTTGGAAAAGAATTCCATCCCACCCTATATTTTGACTATTTGGGGGTATAAGTGAGAGGTTGCTTGGGGTAAGCAAATCTTTTTAAGGCTAGAGCCCTCCCTATACCCTGTACAGCCATGTGGTGGACAAGGTGTTTGGGGACCAAAAGTCCCAGCTATCAGGTGGCCTGGTGTCCGAGTTGGAAGAGTTTATGGTTGGCCAAGTGCCTGCTCTGGGCCTGTTAACATTGGGCCTTTCAGGCTGAGTTGACCTTTTGGAGGTGGGCATGAAGACCTAGGATGCTTCCATTGTCAGGGACAGGATTAGAGAGTCCTGAGGCTTCTCCTTGCTCTCCTTCTCCACCATCTCCCCACCAATGATTCCAGGCAAATGTTTTTTTCTCTCTCCCTGTTCTTCAGTTTTATGACCGTTGTGTGAGGAATCCTGGACAGGAAGGGAAATGAGCTCTCTAATAGTAAACCTAACTGAGTAGGCATACATCCAATGTGGCAGATCATGACTTGCTTTATAGTTCTTGAGTATTCACTGGCATCTGACCTCTTTTGTATTACTCTATAGAGCCCACCAATCCTTGCCTAGTCCATCTTAGATGCCTCCTTCTTTCCCTTTGTCTTCTCTGAGAAACAGATGTTGATTTTCCAAAGGGGCTTCATTGGCATAAAGGGAAAATAACAATGAAAGAGCATAGGATTACTAAATTATAAAGCAGGAGACAAGCTAATGTGAGAAATGCTGGACTTCTAACTGGATGAGCTGAGTTTAAGTTTTGGTTCTGTGCATTACCTATGTGACCTTGAACACACATCTCCCCTCTTTCTCTCTCAGTTTCCTTACCTGTAAAATGGGGAGTGGACTAGTCCACTTACATTCCATGATTTTCCAAATATGTCGTAAGTCCAGCTATTGGGGCAGGGATACACTTTCCTGGCTTAATGGTCCCTCCCTCCTGTCTACCTGGTTCCTGTTTAACCTGCTGGAGAAAATCCTCATTGCATCCTTCCACTGACTAGAGCAATGCTCAACACCTGGTTTTCCCTCTCATCCAAAGCTAGAGCTCTTTCTGACTTCTCCCAGTAAAATAAATAGGCCTGTGGCCAAAAGTTCTGGTCCCATTGATTGGGTCATAGATGGACTCCATAGGGAAAACTTTTTGCACATTTCTTATATCTTCTTGTATGTAGTGGAAAAGTAATCTGCGTGTACAATTCTCTCAAATGGTAAGTGAAGGATCATTTCTTAGAAAATTCAGGAGTCTGGGGTCAGAGTTAGAGGTGGGGGGAAGGTATTCCATGTCTCTGGGGAAGCTTCTTTTATTTGTAATCTGGCACAGTCTCCTTGTAAGGAGGGAGAAAGGGCCTAGGAATAGGTCAATCTTGCCCGTCCCCTTGTTGCAGTTGAAAGGGTTGTTCCTCAAACTGTCTCTGTATCTCCAGGTCATATGTTCCTGAAAGAGCATCTCTCCATCTTGCCAGTAGACAAGTTCTTTCATGAGTCTGACTTGTGGCTATAGCTTGGGAAATACTGAAGTCAGCCTGATATGCTGGTGTACCAACTTTCCATCCTCAATCCCTTGGGCTTCCTCTCTCCTGCTTTTCATCCCAGGAGGTCTTCTTCACTCCTAAGCAAGGAATAATGGAAAGAGCGATGGATTTGGAGTCGAGGGTTGGGTTCAAATCTTGATTTTTTGACTTCTCAAAACCATGTGATCATGGGCGAATCTTTTAACCTCTCTGAGCCTGAGGTTCATCTTATTTTTCCCCCTCAGTTCCGTCTTTAAAATGGGGTGGGGGGGGGTAAGGTGAGGGGGCAGGGTTGGATTTGGTTTCTAAGATTCCATGTAGCCCTTCATCACAAAATCATAGATTTAGGTCTTGAAGAAACATTACCTGTGAGGTCCTATAAGGTGTATGGCTTTGGAAAGAAAGAATGCTGGACCTATCATTGTTACTTTTTAGCCTTCAGAATCTCAGTTTTCTCATCTGTAAATGAGGGAATTGAATAAGCTCACTAGTTCTTAACCTTTAAAAAATTTTTTGACCTGGATGCTCTCGGCAGTTCCAGAAAAATATTTTTAAGTACACAAAATAAAATATAGAGGATAAACAAAGAAGCCAATTATATTGAAATACAGTTATCAGAATATTTTTTTTAAAACTAGTTCTTGGATCCCAAGGTTAAAAGCCACTGGACTAGATGGTCTCTAATGTACCTCTTCCAATTCTGACATTCTATGACTCTTTTTTCCCAGATATAGGGCACATGGTCTCTCTAAACCTAAGAGCAGTCTATAATCAGCATTAATTATTGGGGCATAGCAATATATCGTTAATATAATTAATTAACATATTGTTAACATAGTAATTATTGGGCATAGCAATATATTATTAATATATTTGTTAATATAGCAATTATTATGGCATGGCAATACATTAGTAATATAATTAATATTGATATATAGCATTAATATACACAGTATGAAGGTATAGCCATATATTATTAATATAGACATATTTGTTAGTATATCAATTATTAGGGTATAACAATATATTGGTAATATAATTAATATTAATATATAGTGTTAATATATAAAGTATGGGGTATAGCAATATGTTATTAATATAATTTATATATACATACATATATAATACATATGTATGTGTCTATATATGTATATATACATATATATATATATATATATATAAAAACCTTTTGTTTTGAAAAGAGATCTCATTTTAGAGGATACTACCTACATCCTGTGGTTGTCTATATTCAGAGTAATACAGCATATCAGTTAGACTCCAGGAGAGTTGCTGAGCTGGCTCAGAGACTGCTGTCCTGGCATATGGTCTGGGAAGGGAGAAGGAGTCCATCAACTAATGACCCTTTCCCTACCCCACCCCAACTAAGTATCCAGGACTCTCTCAGTCCTGTCAATGTTCCTATGAGGAGGGACATTCCCCACTCCCTGTCTGTACCTCTAATCTTGACTGGATCACAGGCAGATGAAAGGTACTGGTGTGTCCCAGTTATCTCATGTTCATACCAGATGCCACCCTCGTGCTTGTCAATATCTTGGCTCACCTGGTGGTGGGGCTTTAAGTTGTGTTGGAAGAATATACAGGAAGGAGAAGCAATATTGAATTTCAGTGTCATTCGTTCATGTGTTTATTTACTCATCCATTCAGTCTTTCAAGAAGTATTTATTGAGCATCCAAATATCCCAGGAGCCCATGATGAGGGGCAATTTGGCTCATGGATAGAGATTCCTCAAAACCAGGGACACTTGAGGTCAGATCCTGCCTGCCTCTGACACATATTGGTGGTGGAATCTTGGGCAAATCACTAAGACTATAATTTCTAGAGAAGGTGCTGACCTGCAGTAGTAGATGGAGTTTTTCCCACCTGGGAGTTCTGTATACCAAGGAAGTCAAAAATCCCTGTTCAATGGTAATTAAGGTCCTGTACTAGGGACTGAGAGGATTATGAAGATGAGTGAATGAGACCTGGTCTCTGCTCTGGTGGTGCTTAAGTCTAGTTGGGGAGATAAGGCTAACCCATATGAAAGAACAAAGTAACCCACACTGGGCAGTATGTGATCAGATGTGAGGATGTGGGCAGGAAGAGCTGGTTGCAGACGTGCAAAGAAGAGAGATGTTCTTGGGAGGCTGGAATGGGCTAATGGAGTATAATGGGAAGAGGCCTAGGATGGTAATCAAGGGGTCTAACCTTTTTCTGTCACTCACTTACTCTGTGACCTTGAGTAAGGCATTCATTCTCTGGGCTTCGGTTTCCTCATTATTAGAGGCAGCTAGGTGGCACTAGATAGAGCCCTGGTCTGGAGTCAGGAATATCCTTCAGGATATGTGACTCTGGACAAATCACTTCACCTCTGTTTGACTCAGTTTTCTCAGAAGTAAAATGGGGATAATAACAGCACCTACCTTACCCTAGCAGAGTTGTTATGAGGATCTAATGAGATAATATTCATAAAGTGCTTAGCACTGTGCCTGGCACATAGTAAATGCTATATAAATGCTGATTTTTCTCCCCTGTCTCCCATCTCTAAGTGAGAGGGTTGATTTAGAAGATTCTCTAAGGTTCCTTCCAGTTCTGATCTTCTGTGAATATGGTCAAAGAAGAAGGTGGGAGGAAGCTAGGTGGCACAGTGGATAGAGCACTGGCTCTAGAGTAAGGAGGACCTGAATCCAAATTTGGCCTCAGATACTTCCTAGCTGTGTGACCCTGGACAAGTCACTTGACCCCAAGTGCCTCCCCTCCCAAAAAAGTATTTAAAAAAAAGAAGGTGGGACTTGGGGTAAGGCTTGGATGGGATTTGGTCAGGTGGTGGGAACATCTTAAGTGTGTTCTTGGAGGTATGAGCACAGCATATGAAAGCCCAGATGAGCTAGAGTGAAAAGGCCATATTGAGGTGTATGAAAGATTAGTCTGGGCTAGCTTAATGAATGGGCTTTTGAACAGGGGGCAGGGTATGATGTAATAGGTTCCATCTTTTGGGTGGGGAGAGACTGGATACAGGGAGCCTCTTTAGGAGACTGAGGCAGGAATCCAAGTGGGAGGTGTTGAGGACCTGTACTAAGATGGTGGTCAGGAGAATGGAGAGCAGGAAAAAGATGGAAGAGATATTCCAAAGAAAGAGTTGAACTTAGTGACATACTGGTCAGAAGAGGTGAAGGGTGGAGGTGGGGTAGTTTGGACAAGACTTGCAATTCCACTGGTATTCGGAACTCTTGTTAAAGAAAGGCTTATCAATGCAGATTGGCAACTCCAGTACAATTTACAGGGTCACATGAAGGGAAGATATCAAGGTACTACTTGAGCCTGGGTCTTCTCAAATCTGTCACTGGCACTCTAGCCACTATATCACGCTTCTTCTCAGCACCATATAATTGAGGATAATGAAGGAAAAGGAAGAATTTGGGATGTCCGAGATTTTGAGCCTGGGTGACTTAGGTGGCACCATAATTGGAAACAGGGAAATTTCCAGAAGCGGGAAGAGGATAATGATGGTTTCAGCTTAGGACACGTTGAGTTTGAGGGGATGACAGGATGGTTAATTCAGCTCATATGCAGCTTACTGTACTGAGCTTTGGGGGTACAAAGATAAGAAAAAGCAGTCTCTGCCCTTGAAGAGTACATTCTGCTTGGGTATGCAATGTGTAAAACAGTTAAGAGAGAAAAGGGAGAGAGAAAATGGGAGGGGATCAGGAAGGCATTGCATGAGAGTTGGCACCTTAAAGAGCCTTAAAGGAAATTTTAAGGATTCTAAGAGGCTAAGGCAAAGGTGGGGAGTGCATTCTAGGTATGTGTGTGCAGGTGGTAGGGGTGTGTACAAAGCCAGGGGGCAGGAGATAAAATGCTTGGTTCAGGAAACCACAAGTTGGCTAGTTCAACTGGAATGAAGAGTCTATAAAAGGCCACATATAAGACAAGAAAGGCTTATACCAGCCCAAAGAGTTTGAATTTTATCCTAGAAACAATAGAGAACCATTGATGACCTTTGAGCAAGAGTGACATGGCCATACTTGAATGTTAGGAAGATTATTTTGACAGCTATATGAAGGATGGATTAGAGATGGGAGATGATGGAAGCAGGGAAATCAGTGGGAAGGCAATTTTAGTAGCCCAAGGGAGAGGTGGTAAGGATCTGAATGAGGGTGTTGGCTGTGGGAGTAGAGAGACAGGGATGAATGGGAGAGATGTTATGGAGGTAGAATCAACAGGAATTGGCAACCGTTTGAATATGGGGGCAAGGGAGAGGAGAGTCAAAGCTATCTTTGAGATTGTCAATCTGGGTGACTGTAAAGAGGGTGCCCTCAACAGAAATCAGGAGCTTTGGAGGAACTTAGGGTGGAAAATGCATTCCTTTTTGGAGATAAGAGTTTGAGATGAGGACAGGTCATCCAGATGGAGCTGTCCAGCAGGTAGTGGATAATGCAGGACTGGGTTTCATGAGATACATAAGGGCTGGATATATTGATTTGGGAGTCACCTGCTTTAAGGCAATGATTCAATCCAGGGGAGCTGGTGAGATCATCAAGAGAGAAGTGTATAGGTGAGAAAGAAGGTGTAGGGAAAGAGAAGAAGAGGATCCAGGACAGAGCCTTGGGGGACACTGATGCTTAGGGGGCAGGAGATGGATGATAATTTGGCAAATGAAACTGAAAAGGAACAGCCAGACAGGTTAAAGTAGAATGGGGAGAGCAATGTCACAAATGCTGAGGGAGGAGAGTGTATCCAGGGGAGGGGGTGGTTAATAGTGTCAAAAGCTGCTGAGATGCCAAGAAGGATGACTGCAAAAAGGCCGTCAGATTTAGCAGGCAAAAGATCATTGGTAACCTTGGAGAAAAAAGAGCTGTTGCTTGGAGAATAGGGCATTTGGGTCAGAAGCCAGATTGCAAGATGTCTAACCAGAGATGTCCTGAAGGCATATTGAACTTGACCCTGGGAAAGAGGTCAAGACTAGAGATATAATTTGAAAGTCATCAGCATAGATATGAAAATTGAAGGGATGAAATAGAATCAGTTAAAAGGAAGGAGTGAAGAGGAAGAAGGGCAGCCAACAATGTCAGATGCTGAAGAGAGGTCAAGCAGGATGGGGGCTAGGGAACGACCTTGGGCAGTAAGGAGATCATTAGTGGCCTGCCTTCAAGAGAATAGTTGGAGGGGATGAGTGATAAGGAAATGAGCCCCCACCTTAAGATACTTGTAGATAAGGGTGAATATTTTAGAATTGGATATTAATCAGATGAGCTTTTTGATATGTCTGCCAAGGGCTGTCGTCAAGGCTGCCCCTTCCTTATCCTTGATTTCCAGCCTCCAATCCCTTGAACCTCCCTCTCTCTCTCTCTTGCCCTCCATTCCAGGAGGCCCTCCCCCCCACTCCCCCTAACGGGGTGTCCCCCCTTCACACACACAGGTTGGCGGCTGGACAGTGGATCACGTGTGTCTCCTCAGTTCCCTCTGCTCCCACCTTCATGGCGACTCTGCCCCCACTGTGGCTGGCCAGCCTGCCCAGGTGAGTTCACCTCCATTCCAACCCCATAGACCTGGGCAGGCAGGGAGAGGGAGCCAGGGTAGAAAGGGCAGGGGAGGGGGCACATACCGACACAAATATTGAGGGGTGGGGGAGGAAAGGGAATGTTGCCAGCTACTCACCAAGTAGGAGTCCTTCATTGGTGGGTATCAGAAGGAATTTTTGCTTTTAGGGGGATGGTCATCTGATACTCTATTTAGAGCCAACTTATTTAGGGGAATTTTTATTCTACTTTTCCTTCCCAATCTTTGACACCTCCCCAGGTGGCATATTTTTTGTTCCCTACACCCTGCCCCCCAAGGTCATATTGTTAACCACCCTTGTCCTGAGCATGTTGTCCCTCTCCCTTAGTATCCATAGTATCAAGATGGCTCACTTCTATCCCTCCTGTTGCAGTGTAGGGTTATCTCTTGAAGCTTTACAACAAAGATTTTGGTACTTTGCCACTCATTCAAATCCCATTTCCCCCTTCCTCATTAGGCCTCAGTCATCCCTTTCAAAAAATGGATCTCATCTTAGGTGGAGATGTCTAAGGCTGTAGAGGATATGGGGATGAGGGAAGGAGGCTAGAGAGTCTGGCACTGGGGAGACAAGCTTCTGGCATCATTGGCTCTGGAACTCTGTCCCTAAGGAGAAAGAGAGAGCAAAATCCCTCAGCCCCACAACCCCAACCACATTAGAGACCACTTAGGGTATCCTGACAGTGAGGGTCAGGATGACTGATCTGTCATATGAAGTTCCTTCCCATCCTGTCCTCCCAGAATCCACCCTGAAGCATTTCCCCCCATTATCACACCCCAAGACAAAGTAGGAAGATGCTTGGGCTTATGAGACAGGAAATAGTAGTTTTGTTTTTAATCCATTAGGTTTCTTTTGTTATTTTATTTTTGTATTTGCACAAATATACAAATATATACAAAAATACAAATGTATTTGTATTGAGTATTGTTACTTTTATCTGCAACAGTGAGGAGGCCAGGCATAGATAGAGGCTTCAAATCTATCTTTACCCTCCGCCAAAACTTTGTATATAACTTGAATGTTTGTAGTTGGTGGTCCATAGATTTATATGCAAAGATAGTTTGATTTAGTGAAAATGAGGATTCTGTAATTCTGTGGAATATGTGGATGCATTAGGTGAAGGGATTGGACCAGTTGACCCCTGAGGTTCTCTCCCAGTTCTGAGGTTCCAGGATAGAAGTTTAGAATCTTAAATCACACAGTGACTCACAAGGAGTGGAAAGCAGCTGGGAATAGCCTGCAGAAGTCTGCTCTAGGGTTGTTACTTTACTATAGAAAAACGGCTAGTAGAGAGCTAGCAGTAAAGGACCTCTGTCAATACTTAGTATTCAGTATTCAGGCCTCTCTTAACCTGTCCAATCCTTTCCTCCCTTGCTAGTTTCTGCCATTCTACAGCTTAGGTCCAGAGAGGTTCAACAACTAACCCAGAGTCACACAGCAAGTCAGGAGCAGATGGGAACCGGGACCTAGGTGTCTCCTCAGGCCTAGGGCTCAGAACTGCTTGTGGAAGCACAAAGAGCAGCAGGCCCTACCTAGACTTGGAAGCGGAGGGGATCCCCTATCCACTGGCTGGATAATGGAAGGGCATCTTATTAGAAACGAGGATCTCTCCGATTTCTCCCAAAGCTTGTGTGTGTGTGTGTGTGTGTGTGTGTGTGTGTGTGTGTGTGTGTGTTGGGGGGAAGGGAGGGCAGGGGTGTCAGAGGAATCGCAACCAGAAGGTGGCCCAAGAGCCTTTCCCCCGTGGCCCTTGGCCTTTCTAACCTCCCTCCCTCCTACTGCAACCCGAGTCCCAGGTGGCGGGCCGGTGGGGCGGCGGCGGACTGCGGACTGCGAGATCGGGTGTCCAAGCTGGAGGTAGTGGCTGTGGTGGTGGCAGCAGCAGTCTTAGCAGCAGCAGCAGCGGCGGCCGCCGGGGCTGGGGCGACTGCGGGGCCGCGCGGGCGGGGCCGCGCCCGGGGGCGGGGAGGAGGAGGCGCGGAGGCAGGGGAGATGTGCGCGGTGGCGCGCTGCACGGAGCCAGGTGGAGTCGTGGTTACCGGGGCGACCAGGGCCCGGGCCGGCTCGGCGGCGGCGGCGGCGGCTCGTCTCGCATTGCAGCAAAGGGCAGCGGCGGCTGCGGAGGCGGCCGGGAGCGGGGAGAGCCCGGGTGGGTGGGAGCCCAGGAGCCAGGGGCGGCCAGCCCCCCTGCCCAACCCTGCTCAATTGCGCCCCTGGGGCCAGGCCCAGGCCCGAGCGGACACACCTGTGGCCGCAGGTAAGCTGGAGAGGGAGGTGCAGCCGCGGGGCGCAGGGGAGGAGGGCTCCCCGGGAGGAGTTGGGGGGAGCTGGCGCTGTCTGCCGCGGGCCGCATCCCCGCCCCCTTCTACCCCCTCCCCCCAGGATGCAGCTCCCGAGGGCGCGGCGGCCCCTCCCCCCAACTTCAAGGAGTCATGACCTTCCCCAGACTGGGGCGGGCACCCCCTCTTTCTCACGTGTGGGGTACCTGGGGTGCCCGTCGGTCTCTTGGGGAAGGAGGCCTCCTGCGGAGCCCATGTGGATTTGCACACCTGAGGGTGTGTGTGTGTGTGTGTGTGAGGTGGGATGGAGGTAGGAGTTTGCATGTGCCTTTGTGTGTTGTGTATGTATGTATATATGTATGTACATCTTTGTGTGTACTCCTGTTAGTATGTACTTGTCTGTGTTAGAGTTTACATGTGGCCCCCTTTACCTGTACTTGCCAGTGCTAGAGTTTATATGCAGGTGGTGTGTGCCCTTGTGTTTGTGAGGATGAGAGGGTGAGCCTGCCCCAGGGAATGAAGGTTTAATTTAGAAGGGCCGTCAATCCATTGCTCCTCCCCTGAGATTTCCCATCTAGGTGTCATCAGGTGAGGAGGGTGTAATAACCCCCTCTCACACATGGACCCTAAGTCCTTGTGAGATTCAGAGGGGGCCCTTCTGAGTATTCTCCAGACTACCAGGCAATCCTTCTCCAGCCCTTTTGACAGGTTTTCTCAGCTTTCCAAGGAACAGGTCTTTGGGTGAAAGGCTGAGAAACAGTGAGTCCCTTTACCGTTGGTTGCTACCAGCTCAGGCAGAGATTTGAGAAGGGGTACCCTCAGCTAACAAGGAAAGGAGGGGTTAACTCCTTAGCCCCCAGAGGGAGGGAGATGTTTCTCGGCTTAGCCAGATTGGCTGAGGGCTAAGGAATGGCTCCCTGTCCAAGTTTTGATCCTGGGAGAAGCTGTCAAACACTGTCCTCATCTCTGGCTGGAAATTCTGCCCCTTGTTCTATCACCCCAGGCGCTCCATAAGCAGCTGTCACTGTGGCACGGGTTTGGCATCCATCTTGTCCTTCCAGGGCACACTGCCAGTTTGGTCTCTGTTCCTGGGAGGCCCTGCCCCTGTGGGCAGCTTCATTGGACAGGCAATATTTATTTCTCCCCCTACTGTCCACCCCCTCCCTCACTGAAGGGGGTGGGATGGTGGATTCTGACGCCTCTATGAGTATAAGGGAGGAAGGCAAACCCGTTAGTATTGATTATCCATTTGGATTGGGAGCCCTGTCTCTTGGGACGATTTCCCAAGGGCCATTCAGTTTCCTGTTGATTTCATGAATACTTTGAGATCTCTGGGGGAAGAAACCAGAGTTGAATTTTGTTGGAAGTGTTGGTGAAAGGGACACCCAAGATTCCTCAGCCTTTGCCTCCTTTGACACCTTGGTTCCTTTTGGACCCATTTAGATATGCAGTAGGAATAACTTGGGTTAGAAAATAAGAAGTTTCAGGGGCAGCTAGGTGGCACAGTGGATAGAGCTCCGGACTTGGAGTCAGGAGGACATGAGTTCAAATCCAACCTCAGACACATAATTCTCACTAGCTGTGTGACCCTGGGCAAGTCACTTAACCCCACTGCCTTATTAAAAAAAAAGAAAGAAAGAAAATAAGAAGTTTCAGTTGTGTTGAGGGGTATTGGATGCTTGGTTGGATGGTGAGGCTAGGGAATCTTTCTCCCCAACAATCCCTGAAGAGTGAATTTGTTCTCTCCTCCCTCCATTCCCCCCAATACATATAGTCATATTGGATCAGGTTAATTTATTCAACAATTGATTTCATACCTAGTACCTATATGAGGGATGGAGGAATACGTAAGAGTACTGAGGAGGTAGGAGGCAGAGGAACCAGGAGTTTGTGCCCCCAACCTCCCACTTAGCTCTTGGCCTCCTGGGTCTAGACACAGCTTCTCTTCCATCCTTAGCCAGTGATCACTGACAGCCTCTCCTCTAACACCAATTACTCCACACTAGACTGAGGAATTCACAAATAATAACAGCTAGCACTTTAAGACTTGCATAGTGCTTTACATGTGTTCTCTCATTTGGTCCCCACAACAACCCTGGAAGGTAGATACTATTTTTATTCCCATTCTACAGATCTGAGGCTAGGAGAGGTGATGTGATTTGCCCAGGGTCACACAGCGAGGAAGTGTCAAGGATCTGAACTCAGGATTTCTTGGCTCTAAGTTCATTGTGTCACCTAGCTGCCCATGAAGGGGCCGTCTATATGGTAACCTTTCCTGCTTCTCTGATGTTGATTGGATAGTGAGAAAACTCACAGCCATACTCTGGGAGAACCAGCTGAATGAATTGAAGATGCTTAGCCTGAAAAGAGAAGATCTGGAAGGGACATGACCGTTGTCTTTATGATTTTAAAGTATTGTCTTGTGGATTTTGTTGTTTGGTTGTTTCACTTGTCCCACTCTAAACTATTTGGGGTTTTCTTGGCAGAGATACTAGAGTAGCTCACCATTTCCTTCTCCAGCTCATTTTACAAATGAGGAAACTGAGGCAAACAGAGTTAAGTGCCTTGCCCAGGGCATACAGCTAGTAAGTGTTTGAGGCCAGATTTGAACTCAAGAAGATGAGTCTTCCTAACTCCAGGCCCTGATATTCTAATCTACTTTGCCACCTAGCTGCCCTATCT